TGTGTGTGTGTGTGTGTGTGTGTGGATAGATAGATAGATAGATAGATAGATAGATAGATAGATAGATAGATAGATAGATAGATAGATAGATAGATAGATAGATATTTTAATCATAGTTTAGGCAGAAGTAAAGAAGAGAGGTTTTTTTCTTATTCTTCTTAACATAATTCAGATTCGACTTCAAAATACAGAATACAAGTAGGCTACCATTATGATACCTGTCCCGTACCAAAGCACATGGAAAGAGGGATCCCAGTAGGTGAATTATCTTACCTGAGTTTGAGGTTGGCCATAAACTCTTCCAAAGAGACATTGTCCAGAAGAACAAAGTCCGCCTTTCCGAACTCCAAACTTTCGTGTTCTGCCATATTTAACGCGTTAGTAATATAAGCAAAAAATGTAGAGCTAACTGTTGAATATCCTACGAATACACAAGTCAATTCGACAACAGCAAACAGCAGGGATAATTTTGCATCGCCATGAATTTGTTTACATTTGCCTAGCGCACTATTCGTCGGCTTCTTTTCATGTTATTAGTAAAGGAATATATAAACACGCATTGTTTGTTAACTACAAGTTGTTGTCGTCTTCTCAAAGATTGAAATGCCTAAAGCTGCACACTCTTTGGTCGCCTGAAAACTTCACGCAACTTTACGAAGCTCCCGGTGTTTGAGTGATAGGATTCGACAACAGCAAACAGCAGGGATAATACATCTCCATGAATTTGTTTACATTTGCCTAGCGCACTATTCGTCGGCTTCTTTTCATGTTATTAGTAAAGGAATATATAAACACGCATTGTTTGTTAACTACAAGTTGTTGTCGTCTTCTCAAAGATTGAAATGCCTAAAGCTGCACACTCTTTGGTCGCCTGAAAACTTCACGCAACTTTACGAAGCTCCCGGTGTTTGAGTGATAGTCCGCTACGTCGAGCGTCGCGCCTCTCATCCCTTTTTCGCCTCTCGCGTAAGCCCCTCCCCCCGAGGGCGCGAGCTAAAGCTTACCTCTAAACATGATAAAGTTACAAAGGTGGATACATTTAGCGTCGGGTCGACTTTGGCAAGCAGTATTCACATCTAGCCTACTTAAACCTAGAACGATTTTGTTGCTAGTAGCATATTTATTTTTATTACGTAATCCAAAATTTACAAAAATCTAATTCAAGCTAGTCAGAAGTGAATAGTTGATCGCTGAAACTCAAATCATAATAAAATTAAATAGCGAAATTGTGCATTTCTTATCAGTAGTAGTGGAAGCAAAGTGTCGCTTTTTGGATAGTGACTACTAGCAAAGGAATAAGTACTGTAAATAATACGTAGCGTCTAAGTGAATTACACTTTTGGACATTTACAAGTGAGATAATTAAAAAATATGCTCTTGTAACATACATTACATACTAGCATAGTCTAAGAAAGGAGTAAATGTTAAATAATTTGCCATAGTTAGCATTATAATATCAGTAATGTGAAGGGGATAGTCACATTTGAATTGAGCATAGTTAGCATTCTTTTTAGACTACTATTAGTCATCAGTGAGTTTCTGAATATCCCTGGAATGTCCGTCTGTCCTCTGGCCATATAAGGAAATGGATACAATCCCATTTGAGTGAACCGTATTACTGTAGTGCAGCAAATTATTTAAGTTAATTACAACAGACCTGAAAATAAAACTACCCAAAACCAAATTTACAGGTAAGCACAATAGCGGTTGAACCTTTTTTTTCTGTCTGTTAAAACATTAATAAAACACATTTATTGGTTTCTTACGCTGGCACGTGCTGTCAATGTGTTTGTAGTGACCTCAAGACATGGGGAGGTGTTTAATGACAACTGAAGATGGCTTCAGGTTGCTCTGTTCAGCTGTGACTAAGTGACATCCTCCCTGATTAAACACAATGGGATGACTCTGCTGCCCCCACCTGTGTCTCTAGGAGATTGGGACAGTATTATTCCTAAAAGTTACATAATAGTTTACCAAAGTTATCTACAATACTAATAGTGTAAAAGAAAACAAAATTATTTACAATGTTAAAATGTAATTTTTTTTTATATTTAAATCGAATTAAAAATAGTGTATTATGTATTATTGCTATTATTACTATACACTATTTTAATTATATTTAAATAAAAATAAATATACATATTTTAAAAATGTAATATTATAAAAGCAATATTTGTTGAACAAGATTACTTACAAATATAACATGTACATTTAAATATAATTACAAATTTGACATAAATACAAGACAAAATGTTTAGTGCATTTTTTATAGAAAAAAAGCAGTATTTTCATTTGAAATATATCTTTCAGCAAGGGAACAAATATTGTTTTCTTTTACACTGTTTTTATTGTTATATTAGTATTTATAAGTATTATGTGGATACATAAATATATATATATATATATATACATAATAATGACAAAAAGTTGTTGTTTAGTCTTAAATTCAGAAGTTTTATGGCAAAGTAATTTTTATAGAAAATAAAAACACTTAGAAAAATGTTACGGTATTTGCATTTGAAATAAATCTCTTAGCAAGACACGTTTAAAAATAGTTAAAGCAATGAATAAACAGAACTAGCAGAACATGTTTTACCATTGTACATTTTATGTAAGTCACACAGACTAGTTGGTACTATAAATGTTCCGAATTTTGCTTCAGATGACACTTACATTCCCTTAGATTTTTCTCACCATAAGCAATGAGCCCCCAAAAACGATGGTGTTGGATGCATTATTGGCCCAAGAGCGGCCACGATTATGGGTCACATAAACCGTAGCACCCTTGCGCAGAGTCGTCATGTACGTAGACAGATTCCCAACTGAGCTGGAGCCCTGAACATTGCTATGGGACACAGCCACCCAGTAATTATTTACAACCAGCCATAGATCAGTTGTCCCACTGCCCCCAGTCTGTGTGGAGAAGAAGAACTGATAGACGCCAGAAACCGGAGCTCTGAATGTCCCGGTGCGAGTGCTGAAAGCCCCTCCTTGATTCACATATACTTTCCTGTACATTATCCTGTTCACTTTTCCTGAGATGCTGGCCGGGTAGGTGACAAAAAAATGGACGTTTGCTTTCACTACAGACCACAAGGAAAGAAGATGCTGCATTCATTTCCTTAAAAGGTAGATCATTTTAATAATACAAACTACATTTTCACAGTGTGATTGATGATAAAGAGAAATGACTCACCTCTACTTTTGTTTTTCTTACACATCCAGGTGATTTTGTCTCTGCTGATGCAAGACTCAGATTTTCTGCACTTTCCACAGACAAGCGTGTTAATATCTGAAAGGATGGTGTACAACAGTCAATAGCTTATATAAATACCTCAAATTTTCCTTAAAATCCACTTGCATTGTATCTTACCTGCACAATATGCCATATGGCAAGCTACCGGTTTGACAAACTTGTAAACGTAGTAGTTTCCCCTACATGCTTTCACTTGAATGGGAGGAGATTTGAACAAACAGCAGTTGTTTTTCCAGTTTCCACACACCTTGCGGGTGACCACCCCGTCTCGTATCCGGGGATGACCGCCGACGAGCCACAGCGGAGCGTGCGTGCCACACATTTCTTTCTTCACACACCTCTCGGGCATCTGGATGGGTTTCCCACGGTAGAAGAGACGGTACCAGCCCTTCCACTGGACACGACGGTCACAAGCAACATTCTTGGTGGTGTAGTTTGTGGCTCTCCAGGTTTGGTCCAGCGCGGTATAGTGATTGCAGGGGTCAGAGGACTCATCACTGTCATCCTCACCAGAGCCTTCATCTCCATCTCCATCCTGGGTGAGGGTATACAGCAAATGGCTGCTGCCTATCAAAGACAGACATAAATAGCCCTTTTTTGTATAAATAAATAAATAAATATATAACTGGATATGGACTGGATAGTATTAATGAATTAGTTTTGTCCAACCTCTTCAAATGAATTAACTGATAAACATTTTCAATTCTTTACCTATTGAACAATTTTTTTAATAGTAAATAATTGCAATAATTATTTACTATATACTATAAACATTTAATAATAATAATAATAATAAATAAATGTAAAGCATACAGAATTAAAAAAAAAAATTTTTTATTTACTTACCTGTTTGTAGTGATGTCAAATTCATCTCCACGTCTGTATCAATAGGCTTTTGTGAACAGTGTGGTAATTCCTGCAACAAAACAATCATAGTAGTTTCTGAAGAAAATTGTTTGTCTCACAATATGATACATTTAGATCGTTTGGGCCTTATTTTCACTTTGAGATAATGGCACAATTAATACATTATACATTACATTTTTAACAACAGCATGCTTAAATCTTTTTGTATGTCCAATACGATTTTGCGGGTCTGATTAGAATTTCTTTCTTTCTTTCTTTCTTTCTTTCTTTCTTTCTTTCTTTCTTTCTTTCTTTCTAGCAAAGAATCTTTCATTATCAACTTTAATTTTACCTGGCTCAAGGCTTCTTGCTTTTGTTTCATCACTGCTTGTTCATGTTTCAAGTTTTCCATCTCCTAAATAAATACAGAGGAAAAAATACAATGCTCATACCACTTTCCCATTAGAAACTGAAATGTTTAGCACTCAGAAGCATTTTTAAATTCCCCACTACCTTATACACAACAGCAAGTTGCTCCTGCAAAGGCTGGTCAACCATATTCCAAGCTCTGAATGTATACTGGAAAACAGTGCAATGAAATATTGTGAAATAAAATGAAGTTATTTGCACAGTTACTGTGAAACTGTAGTTGTAATGTAAAAATATTTTAAATAGTTTGGTCTTATTTTTTTATAACATTATTATATTAGCCAAAATATCTTACTGAAATATCTCTGTTCGCAGTGTCGGCTGCACAGATAACCAGCATGGTAAACACTTGAACACATAAGCAAAGCATCTAAAGGTGAAAGTAAAAACTGCATTAGATTTTGTATTATTTATCTATATACATAAAAAAATAAACATAAAAATAAAATAATAATTTAAGGTATGTATTTTTAATTTTAAAAATGGATTTACTGTTTGGTCCTTAATCAAGAAGGTAAACTCTTGGGATTTTCAGATACTGTAGGTTACCGATGCTTACTGTAAGTGATTTGATTTTATAAGTGATCTTTTTATTTATTTATTTATTATTTTAGAAATTATAAACATTTGACGCTTACCTTTTCACAAAGAGCAGATCTCTATGCGTTATGCAAGTCAACTATATAGAATAGAGTCAGTTTATATACTGCACCAGATTATGGGTGGACACTACTGCCATGCAAAAGGAAGTTGCTGGTTTGACTTTCACACCAATATTCTCTTACACGAGACTGGTGACACTCTTCACAAATAAGGTGCTAACATGCACATGAAAAATGGGCACAAGCAGTTTTTGAGCTCATGAGGTCAGCAAAAATAAAATTGCTGCAAAAATGTATTTGCATATGTGCAGACAAAATACTATTGAAGATGCATGAGTCAAACTAGGATGTCAATGTAAAACAAAAATAAAAGCAAACAAACAAAAAGGAGACAACGCGTTAACATATTTTAAAGGGATCAAGGTCAAGACTAGGTCAGTATTTTGCATTAAACTGAGTTTTCTTTGTTTGAACTTTTGGAAAATGTAATGACTGACCAGGTTTTAGTTATGAATTACCAAGTCAACCATTATACTTACACTCACATTGCAATTTAACAAGTTATTTGACAGTTAGAATTATGCCTTTGCAAGTATCAATCAGAAACCACATGTCAAGACAATGGTTAGAGCAAAAAACCTAGTCTTGCATTATCAGCAGAATAGTGACAAGGACTACAAAAGTACTCCTTTTTGCACAAACACGCATTTTGTTTAACATATTATCTTAAATAACACTTTAAATCTATTCTGCATTGCTGTCTAATGTTCACAAATTAATATTAGATTCCTATGAGATTACTTTCACTTTTAAAAACAATGAAAAACTGGGTTCAAATTTTCCAGCTGGGAGAAATACACCCATTGAGGAAGATTTAAAGAGTAATAATAAAGCATAAATGGTAGTGAGTAGGAAATAGCTTCATGGAAAATATGCACAGTGAGTAAAAGATACACTTGCTTTGACTAATAGAAATGACTGCCAGTGTCTGGGGGAAGGATGCAGAAATATCTTGAAATAATAATAAGTATCTGCAACATCAAAAGCCACCACTAGGTGGTAACCTCTAACCTATTAAAAACATTGGGGTTTTACAATTTTGCTGGACAGGAAATTGTAAATTACAAACCTGGTAGAGATAATGCATAACCATGTACAATAAATATCCACTTTGATATAGTTAAAAATATTCTGGTGAATTTATCTAATTGTGTAATGATCCCAAACCAGTGAAGAATTACATTATTGTCTTGCTGAGAAATTTTTATTTTTTTTTTAATTAACTGATATAATGTTAATATACCAACCTATTGAAGTACTGAAATCTGTTTTGTACTGTTGTAATACACTGATAACCACCAAATGCAGGTGGTGATGAGAGTCACATGATAAACCAAAGCCCATCACAAGCAGCTTTTAAATAATAACATATCGAAGGTGCACAGTGTCATTCACACAAACACTAAACACCATCATGGTAACATTCATTTAACAACATTAGGTGAAACACACAATCCTAATATACAAAACTGATAAGAAAAAACTAAGAAGAAACATAGTTATTTCAACAAAAAAACAGAAAATTTGAAATGTAGTGCAGGGAATTTTAGGAATGTCAATTTACGGTTATTCACTTTTTCACTTCCAAAAACGGTATACTAGCGTAAAATTAATGTCCAATACATGTCATGTCCAATACAGTTTTTCACCGTATATAGTAGGGGAATTTACCGTTAACCATTTAACAGGTTTTTACAGTAGAATTTTTACAGCCTTTTACCGTTAAGTTCACGGTAAGTTTTTACAGTGTAGACAGTAACTTAAAATTACATAGTGGCTAAAGTGTACATATTAATACCTACTGAAAGGATACCACCCTAGTGACAGTTTTGTACGTTTTATTTTGAGAGTGTAGAGTTCTTTTAAATAAATGGAATACAATCTTATCAATATTAATGGAATACAGTCAACAGAACATTGTGCTTTTGATCTCATTCCTTAACTGTAAAAACCATGCCAAACATCATTTGGTAATGTATTAAAGCATTTGGCAGTAACCCCAAGTCTCACTGTCAACAGAGCAATGAGCAGTCGATTGTGTGATTAGATAAGACCAGGCAAGTCAGTACAATAGTCCACCCAGGAAAACAATGTTCATGTTTTGATGTGAAGCACAGGCCTCAGCCTTTTTACATAAGCAGGAGACATCAGTAAACAGCCCTGGGGAATGACAGGCATGCCAGAATGAGAACAGCCGCCTGGACAAACCGATTACAGCCTGTTGTGAACTGTGATATGTTTGCATACATTACACAACCCTACCCCACCCGACGACCCCTCCATCTACACTCATCCACAGACAAACACGTACACTCCATCCTTTATGGCCTGGTTTGAGGGCTGTACTTTTCCTATCGAGGTTCCTGGAATTGCATACGGTCGCTCATTGCTGTTCTCGCACGTCTCTATAGATTCTAGCACATGAGGGTTCGGTCTTTAACAGCTGCATAACAGGGCGCTCTATGGAGAGAAGCCATCTGTTTGAGTTTCTTTTTACTGCTTAGATACTCATGCAGTCTTGTGCACCTGTGTGGGAATATATAGCAAAAACAAAAAAACAATTAAAGAAAAGCTGTGGCACAAATATTGACAGGTAATATTGGTCAAATGCACTCTCATATAGATTATATTAGTATTAGAAAATAAAAATTCTGTCTTTATTTACTCACCTTCATGTTGTTCCAAAGCAGTATGACTTTTCCTTTAAAAGAAAATAATTTGAGTCACGTTTGAGAAATTTTTTAAATGATCTTCTTTTGTTTTACAGAGGAAAGTAATATACTGTAGGCTTAGAATGACATGAGGGTGAAGTAAAGGTCTGTTCACACCAAGCAAGATAACTATATTAGCACCCACACCAACAGACAATAAGTTCTGTTTATTATTTTAAAGTTTTAGCATATTATATCAAGTTCTTTAAAGTCTGATAGATTCTGACTGGCTGTTTTTATTGTTCATCAGCTGGGGGGGAAAATTATATGAAATTGATTCTAACAATATCTTTCCTCTAGTCTATGGCATTATTGTTGTAGCTTTGGTGTGGACAGAATTCTGACAAAAAGTCAAACCTATAAGACAGTCAGGCCATAATATTTGAAAGTATGAGACAAAAAGTCAAAATTATGACATCAATGTCATTATTATGACATAAAAGGTGTAAATTATGAGGTAGAAAGTCATTATTAGGACCCTTCCTAGAAAATAGGAAAAACAGAAAATGTGGAAAAAGTTTTGTCTTGATGGTGATTTTTCATAATTATGTTTGTGTGTGGCGCAGAAAGGGGCATCTACACTTAAGTACATACGAAGTACCTAAAATAGTATGAGGTTACTATCCCTGCGATTTCTGTACAAAGTGTGGAGATGTGCGATATATGACAAAAAAATACCATTCAAACAAATTATGAGTAGGAGCTGTCCGTTGTTGCTCAAAAATGAAAAATAATTAGATAAAGGAAAGGTTATCAAATTATTTTAATGTTTATCTAGGCCTGAAATATTTCAGAGACTCCAGGATGTAAACAAGATATCCATCTAACCTTACATGGAGTGCCACATAGCATGTGATTTATTATGGTATGTGATATATTGTAAGAGGAGCACTTGTTTATCAAGCAGTTCTTGAGAAGGTTAATCCATCAAGAACACAGTAGTCTCTGTGGACACAAAATGATCCTGATGTTATTTTCACATTCAGCAGAAAGTAATTTTGTTCTATCACTGCACATCTGACCTTCATTTACTACAGGACAGATTAGCTAATTTCATTGTTTTGTCCAGGCTTGTTGTTCCATTCATGCCTCTCATTGTTGTCAATTGACCTCACTTTCCATGTAACCTCTGACTGTAAGTGGTGTGTTGTTTACTATGAAATGTAACCTTTGCCTTACTGGGCAAAGGACCAATGTGTAGAATCTCGATCCACACCTGCTAATCATCTTTGTTCTCTCTAGAATACGGCCTTGAAAAAACAATAGAAAATGTATTTGAAAATCTTCTCATCCTTGGGTCATCCAACATGTAGAGCCTGTCTTCATTAGATCAGATTTAAAGATATTTAGCATTACATCACTTGCCCCTCATTGGATCATTTGCAGTGACTGGGTGCCATCAGAACGAGAGTCCAAACAGCTGATAGAAACGTTACAACAATCCACAAGTAATCAACACGACTCCAGTTCATCATTAACATCTTGAAAAGTGAAAAGCAGATCCATTATTAAGGAGGAATAATGAAACAAATCCATTATTAAGGAGGTTTAACTTTAAACCATCCCCTTTGGCCAAAATACCAGTTCATAATCCATAATAATGTTTCCTCAAGTGAAAAAGTCCATCCCCCGTTCATCAAAATCCAGCAACATATTTGTTTAAAAATGTTTTGGACTGTTTTCACTTGTAAATGGTGCTTGATCTGTGCATATTTCTCTCCTGATTCAGACAAGACAACCTTTGCACTAGAGAAAGCTATATTATGGACAGAGGACTCATATTTTTGCTAAAATCTACAGTTTAAAGTAAAATAAAATGTATTGATGGATTCAAACATGTAGCTTTTCACTTCAAAAGATGTTGGACTGAAATCGTGTTAATTACTTGTGGATTATTGTGATGGTTTTATCAGCTGTTCGACTCTCATTCTGACGGCACCCATTCACTGCAGAGGATTATTGGTGCAAGTTATGTAATGCCAAGTACATTTTCAGCT